CTATAGATGTTGTTAATGTCTGTGTGTCTATTGATGGCTGATTTGTCAGAGTAACCAGATTTCTAGAAATTCCCTGGCATTTGGGGACTTGGCCTGGTCTAGAATTGTCACATTTTCTCAATTGAAACTATGGTTAAATCTGTCTATATGTTGTGAAATTTCACAGCAGTAAACAGCCCAATCAAAAATAATCTCTAAGACCACCCTCACCCACACAGACAGGCAAGTCATCAGAATATAAACTGACAGCAAACAGCACTCCTTACTAGCACTGATAATGTTACTAGTTAGGGTAATGAAACATCTGCAAGAAAACAAACAAGCTCAGAGAGCACCAAGGATCCCACATTTGAACCCTGAGCTACAAATATTCTCCTTGATTGTTACAGATATATTCACATTCAGGAAAACTTTCCAATGTGTTGTTTCCTATGTAATCTCTTTATTTTGTTGGACTGTATATCTGTGTCGTTGTCCATAAGTAGCACTGTTGCAACTGATTGTGGATTGCCTCTCGTGTTATTTTTTTTTTTTTTTTTTGCTTTCTTGTGAATGAACTACAGGAATAACAACAAAATTGGAGCAACTTAATGCCTCATTTCTGAAACTTACAGAAAATTGTGTTTTTTCCAGTTATACCAGCACAAAATCTAATCTGTAAAGATGAAAATGAATTTAGTAACAAAATAGTCATTGAAAGCTTATTTATTTATTTGTCAAACATGTACAAGATAACAAGTATAAGTATGAACATAAACAAGAACAAAGGGAGTAAATACAGATAAATGGGGACAGTAAGACAGGGACAGTAGGCACGCTGGAGCACTTATGCTTGCCCCCTTGAAGGATGGGGTGAGGTCCATAGTAGACAGTTTGAGCATCTGTTTCAAGAAATATCACAACTATAACAACAAATTCTTTCACTTCATGGTATTTAATCTGGAATAAGTACTCCTAAAAACAGATGGGTGGATATTCACTACATAAGTTATATGGTAAGAAGATTCAAGGATTGTGATTAGAATGTTATTATTTCCCTGAAAAAGGAGATGACAGCAGTGAACTGCAATACAAGCCAAAAGTCCCCATAAAATGCCAGTTATACAGTGCAGGATATTCTGATTGAGAAACTTAATTTTAATGCAGACCACCAAAAAAAAACCAAAAAAAAAAAAAAAAACCCAATTCCCTGCAATCCCTCTAAATGCTTTAAACCTGACATTAGCCCAAAAAGCAAGGCAGCCATCTGTTGCTTTTTAGTCAGCCTAGTCTCTGTTCCACTGTCATTTTTTGCTCCTTTAATCAAACAAACCTACAGGTATGTCATTTGTCAATGTTGGTTATGCATAAGGGCATAATTTAGAAAACAGTTATAGCTATTGCCTTCTTGATGAGGAAAAATCTTTCTCTAAGGATTCCTATACAAATATGTATTCAGGATTGTGATCCTATTATTAATACTGTTCATTGAACAAAGACAATCATGGGAAACAAAGCTTTATGAATGTGGTCTGATATTTCCTTTATTAAGGTGTTTGTTGTCTAATAGCCTAGAACGATTGGCTGATGTTTTATCCATGAAAGATAATGACTGGAGTTGCTCCCTTGATACAGGTACAGAGGTGGGTATTCAGCAGGTTCTGACCAGTTCTGGAGAACCGGTAGCGGAAATTTTGAGTAGTTCAGAGAACCGGCAGATACCACCTCTGACTGGAGATTTTACAGTATCCTTCCCCTGCCACACCCACCAAGCCACGCCCACAGAACCAGTATTAAAAAATTTGAATCCCACCTACTGGAAAAATGGCTTCTTCCAAATGTAGTTTCCTAGGACCTACACATACTGCAAACAGGTTTGCCACCTAGGAAAGGATCAAACAGCATTAAGGATTTTTTTTTTATGGCCATGCCAACCCTCACCAATTCCCTTCCCAAAACATCCATGCAGCCTCTTTCTTCTCACACTTCAAGGGGGGTGGAAATGACATATTCTTATTCTCATGTTTTTCCAGTGTAGTGGCCACATTTAGCTTCCTGACGTATTTTAATTGCCAATGCCCTTTTAAATGATTTTTTAATTGATTTGGGTATGCTGTGGTCGTGATGTTTGGCTATGATTTTTAAACAACTGAAGATAAGTTTACATGTCTAACTTGGTTCTTTTTTTACTTGAATTTTAATCAGCAGTATCCACATCAGAGGTGGTATTCAGCAGGTACTGATTTCTGATTTCTGCAGTACCCGTAGTGCTGTGCAATCTGTCTGCCATGTTACATACAAACTTACGTTTTTTTTCCCCTGTTAGACTTATGAAAGGATGAGTCTTTTTCATGTTTTGTTTTGTTTTACAGGTTCACCTTAGAATGAAGGAAGGTGGAACTGCTTTTTAAAACAAGTGGGATGAAAAAAAGAATTCTGCAGGTTTCCTCTGCTGAACAAGTGATAGGAAAACTGATGATCACCCAACATCGCCTGTCTCTCAATGGCTGCGTCAGATGGAAGGGTGTTGATTAAAAGGGGGAGGAGTCCTTCAAAAAGACATCAATGTTAACCTTGTGCCCCCACCCCCCAAAATCTGACTTTTTCGGTGCTTGCTTTCTTACATGGGTAGCAAGGGTAAAGCAGTAGGAAAATTGGGAGACATGGTAATTGCAACCTGGCCAAAATATCCAGCCATCATCCTTGCCAAAACTGAAGACTGAACTGAAATCTGGACAGCAATTTTTTTATGGTGCCTAATTTCAGCATAGGAGACCAAGGCTCTTATACAGGACAGCCCATTATTGATTGGACAATATAAAACTTTGGCATGCATCTTGGCAGAGGCACTCAAATATTTCTTTTACAGGTGTGCAACCAAATACAGTACTGCTTTTAGTCTTCATTTAGTGTGATTTATAACATTACAAATAGCAATTTAGACATATATCGCTTTACAGTGCTCTCTGAGCAGTTTACAGGGTCAGCATATCTGGGTCATTTTACCTACCTCGGAAGGATGGAAGGCTGAGTCAACCTTAAGCCTGGTGAGATTTGAACTGTCAAATTGCAGACAGCTGGCAGTCAGTAGAAGTAGACTGCAGTACTGCACTCTAACCACTGTGCCGTCATGGCTCATAATAATGTGCTTAAAATTAGACTTATATACCACTTTACAGTGCTTTACAGCCCTCTCTAAGAGATTTACAGAATCAGCCTCTTGCCTGCAACAATCTGGGTCCTCATTTTACCCATCTTTTAAAGAAGGATGGAAGGCTGAGTCAACTCTGAGCCTGGTGAGTTCTGAACTGCCAAATTGCAGGCAACCGGCAGTACTGCACTCTGACCACTGTGCCATCCTGGCTAATTCCCTGCTGGTTATAGTGCTTAATGGCCCATTACCTTGCTATTGTCTGTTTTACAGTATTCCTGTCTGGAATTTTTTACTTCTTTCAATATATTTTAAGTGGTTGGCCTTAGTCAAAGAAAAATTAAAGGTATAAAAATGCCAAAACTACTCCAATTTCATTCTCAGGAAAGTCAAACCTGCAGTTCACTTTGACTTCTCATTGTTCAGACTGTACAGATCTATTCTAAATCACTTCAATGAAATGGCCTGTGAGCCACTTTGCAAGATGAAATGCTTCAAGGAGCGCAGTTGCCTGTGTCCCTCTTATTAAGTAGCATGTTTTGGTGGAGAAGAAAGAAATATTTGTCTTGCGACTCCGATTCAAATAGCTCCTTCTCCAAATCTTGGGATTTTTAACATTGACCTTGGCTCTCAACTGTCTCTTAATTTGCTCTCAATTTAAATCTCTTTAGAATTAACGCGATCTAAAATTTGGACTCAGAGGTCTTTCGGAAGGGCAGTAATAATGTCTAAAGTCCAGTGCAATAAATAATAATTGGCCATGTGGTATGTCTTGGGTAAAAAAATAAAGGGCAATTCATCTACCAATTGTATGGGTATTGAAGTGAAAAAGGCATGGCTTGCAATCAGCTTCTTTCAAATGAGTCAAGATCATATGCAGTATGGATAGAGATCTCTTTGGAATCAAGCTCAGTTCTTGGTGATTTCATGACCATGTCTGCGTAGGGTTTTTTTTTTTTGAGAGAGAGAGGGAAGAACCGTACAGAGTTTTGCTATTGTCTTATTTCCACCTTAGCTCTTGCCAATGCTCTCCCACCCAAGTACTAAGCAAGGTTAGGCTCCTGGCTAGCTTTTCAAATCAGCCGAGGGCAGGTATGCACAAATTCAGCAGCTCATCCTGCCGATTTCGTTTCCCCTGCAGAAGGCAGGAATCGCGTTGCTGTAAAAGGCAGAAAATAATTTTGAGCGTCAAAGGCAGGCAGGCAGGCAGGCAAGCCAGTCTCTCTCTCTCTCTCTCTCTCTCTCTGTATGTGCGCGCGCAAAGGAGAACCTGATCTGCGGTAGGAAAGGTGGAAAGGATCCCTTTTATGAAAAGAACCGGTGGTTTCCTTATGCCAAGGCCAGCGTGAAGGTGATCCCTCACTCTCTAGCCTCTCCAAGGATCGCCGTGCGCGTGGAATATTCTCCCTTCCCTCTTTCCGTCTCCAAGCGTAGCTCCCGGGTGCACCGATTCCCTGTAAGGTGTTTTCTCCTTTACCCTGCACTGCAGCAACAGGTTTACCAAAAACGCCCTTGAGCAACCCAGCCTACGCCACTCCCCACTTCCTCCCCCTCCCAATTCCGGAGGGTATGTCTTTAAGAGGGCGGGAAGGGAGGGGAGGGGATCAGCTCCATGCGGTTTGACAAACCTCTGGCCACGCCCCCTTTCCCCCCTCCCGCCATAGCCGGTCTTGTCTTCGCAGGGTATCTTTCTCACCTCCCTCCTCCTTGCTCCATGAGCCGTGCGGCCTCTGATTGGCTCCCGCTGGTGCAAGAGGCGGGGTCGCGTCTGGGCCGGGGGAGGGACCAAAAAAAAAAAAAAAAAGAGAGAGAGAGAGAGAACACCCCCCCCTCTCTCTTGCCACAACGTTCCAACGGGCAGAGCGGTAGGAAGGTGATCGCTGGCGTTCCAATGGGGAAGCGCAGAGTCCCGGTGAATCCCGGATGCCGTCGGAGGTGGCTGTGCTGAGCTGAAGATCTTGAGGGCTTCTTGCTTCGGGAGGCCCCGCTGGGGCCAAGCGCGCCGGGTGGCTTTGGGAAGGCTGCGGAGGCAAGCAACGGCAAACGTTAGAGCCGGCAAAGAGCTGGAGGTTCCGGCAACAGCCGCCACCGCACCGCCCCTGAGTTTGCAGCGTGTTTGGGAAATGTGGCCGCGAGCAGCGGTCCTCCGGCAGCGGTAGCCTTTGCTTGCTCGGGCAACGCCGTTTCTCCCTCCTTCGGACGGCTCCCGTCCTCTCGCCCTGGCGTGTGTGAAACAGCCCTCGGTGCAAGATCTTCCTTAGACCCTTTTTTTCCCGTCTGCTTCCAGAGTTGACAAATTGACTTCCTGATGTCTGCGGATCCCGAGCAGCATAAAAGCGGCTCTCTTGGAGGCTGATTTTATTTCATTATCATTTAAAAAAAAATAAAAAAAAATTGCATTTTGCTGGACGGACTGGATACATGTTTTCAACGTTGAGGGTGGTTCTGCTGCTTGTTTCGATTTAAGGTGCTTCAAGGAAAGGTTTCCCCATTCCTGGACGTTTCTCTTCCAGCGGATTCCTTTTCGCCGTAAGCCTGGCTTTGGACGGGCTCTTGGAAATCATGGGGCTACCTGCCTTGGAGTTTAGTGACTGCTGTTTGGATAGCCCCCTGTTCCGAGAAAGGCTAAAGTCTCACGAAGCTGAGCTGGACAAGACCAACAAGTTCATCAAGGAGCTGATCAAGGATGGAAAGGCACTCATTGTGGCCCTTAAAAGTGAGTGACAGGTCGTCTGTGAATCTGTATTAAGTGTGATGGTAACTGAAACCTTGGTTTAAAGGAGTGGTCGCCAAACAGTAGGCTGGGGACCACTGGTGGTCCGCGAGAAAATTTTGATGGTCCGTAGAGAAATGTCCCCCCCCCCCAAAGCATCCCCCCAGTGCAATTAATCCAGGCTGCGTGGGAACAGAAGTCCCGGGGTGGTGGGAAAGCTGGTCCCATATTCTTGAGCTGCAGTAGTCACAGGACTGGCCCTTTGGTTATCCCGGAGCAGCTGCTCCTCCACCCGGGTGCACCGGCCTGCCATGGACTGGAGGAGCAGCTGTTCTGCGATGACCAAAGGGCCAGTCCTGTGACTACTGCAGCTCTGGAATATGGGACCGACTTTCCCACCAAAGTCAGCAAGCCACCGTCAGTCAAAATTCATATTAGTGGTCCGCGGGATTTAAAATTATGAGTTTGGTGGTTCCTGAGGTCCAAAAGGTTGGCGACCCCTGGTTTAAAGGACATCTGGGATCCCATCAGACATTAACTGGGGTTAGAAGAACTCATGCAGCTTTACTTGGGAAAGCAAACATGGGTGGGGAAACACATGCATGCAAGCATGGAGAGATTGAGTAGAAAGTATAAAATGGGGTGGGGGTGGGGGAACGTGGCAGTTTAATACTGTGTGAAGGTATAATTCCAGCAAGGGGGTTTATGGTCCAATAATTCATGAATACATTTACCTTAACACCAAACTTACACAGAGGCCAGAGAAAGTTGCATTGGGTTAAAAGGCTGAGGGGAGATTGTCAGGCTTTTACCTTGACAGGGTAGTTTCCAGACATACTTGCTACCTGTCACTTCCTTGTCGGTAATCTAGTGATCATTTATGAAAATGAAAGGCCTTGGTGTAAATTATTTCTCCCTAAGAGCTGAGTTTTGTAGGTTGGATTATTTTGCTTAAGCAATTGCTTTTATAGTATTGCAATCTTTGTATTGCTTAGTAGAGGTGCCTCTCCCATTTACAGTCCTGTAATTACAAAATGTTATTGAGGAATGGAGCAAGAAGCTCTACACACTACACTGCACACCGTCAGTGTTAGGATTTTCTACCAAAATCATTCAGTTATTCTCTTGGCCAGTGTTGCTACTGAATTGCTAAAGGTAGAAAGCAGAACAATAACTTCATGATTTAAATCATTTGATTTCTAAATGAATTGTTACTGAGGGAGGGAGGGAGGCTAAGGGGTTGTGCTGTCCTTTGCTGCTGGTGTGGAAATGTGTATTTTGTTTCCTCAAGCGACTTCCTGCAGTTGAAGTGATACTCAGCCCTGATCTCCAAACATTAGAACTAAAATAAGTTTTGCTGTGACTTTTCCCCCTTTCCCTTTAAAAATCTAGTAAAATTTAAATTCTTTATTTGGAGATGCAAAGTTATGTGCAGGTTTGCAAAAATAAATTTAAAAAGGCACCTAATTTATTCTGCAAAGCTGATAAGCTGTGTGTGTATGTATGTGAGAAAGAGAGTGTGCTATGGCCTGCTGTGTTTGCATTTCACTTTTTTGTAAGTCAAAGGCAAATAACTTTACCGTATATAAAGAGCTATTTAAAGAGCCTTATCTGTCTCATGTGACATTTGTGTTTAATTGTCATTGATGATGGATAATACTTTGCCTTCTTGGGTATGGATCTCTACCTAAAGCTTTTGTATAAAAGATCAAATGATGAATTTTTCCTTTGTAGTAAAGTCTGAATTGGTCTTGTGCAGCATTAAGCTGGCACATTAGAGCCCCCTACGCTCAACACATATCTCATTAAGCTCTAAGAGATTTAAGGTTAACAAAAAGTTTTAAAAGTGAGAGTTAGCTCATGAATCACTTTTCAGAAGAGGCTGACAAGAATATTTGTTATATAATGGTCTGTAGTCCATTAAGGGAGTGGGCATCATGCATATTTCTAAACAAATTACCAATACTTACATGGTGTTGACAATGTGACAAGTGCCAGTAACTTGTCATGTAATAGGATAAAACAACTTAATGGTTGGAGACCAACATCCATATGGGGCACAGTAAGCTGCCCAGAAAATGGGAGAGTTGGAGACCAAATTGGGTGGAGGACATCTGGTTGCCTATCCGTACTATAATGACTTGGCTTTTATGTTTTTTAATTTTTTTATTGAATTTATACAAAGGGGAGGGGTCTGAACTGAGGGCCCTTGGGGCAACTGCCACTGGGAGAAGCAGAGCCAGAAAGGGGGCTTTGCTCTTTTTGGGGGGCAGCGCCCCTCGGCCACCCCTTCAGAGGCTTCTCAGCAGGCAGCTTCCTGCAGAAGGATTGCCGCCCTCAGTGATTAATTGGGGGGAGGGGGAGAAAGTGGGGGCTCCAGGACGGGGATGCCAGGGCTCTTCCAGCCTCACCTGGAGGCAGGCAAGGAAAGGGGGGGAGGTTGACACCTTCACCCTCCCAAGAGGAGAGTTGCTTTCCTCCATCAGCCCTCCATCCGCCGTTTCTGCTGTTCCTCACCTCTCCTGCCCCGGGAGGGGAGCCGGGCACCATTTCCTCCCTGCCCAATGGCTGCACCCTCAGCGGGAGATAAACCCCAGAGCCCGGCAGTGGCTGATCTGCTCCTCCCAAGTGCCGCTTCCCTGTCGCCTGCCTTGCAGAGCAAGGGATGAGAGAGGTTCCCCCTCCAACCAAGCTATCAGGCGCTCCTTGAGAGAGACGAGTGAAGCAGCCGGAGTCACTCTCGTCTCTTGGAGAGCCCGGCCAGTTTCTCACACCGCTTCAGCTGCAGAGACAACAGTTTGCAGGGTGCCGATTTAGCATTTGCAGATCTAGGGTTGACTCCGGCTGCTTCTCTCTGCTGCACTACAGACGTGGCAGGACACGAGGGGCTGCCTTGGCGCCACCAGCTGCTGTAAATATACCGCGGTGAAGGGAGATGCAAATGTGAGTACTGCTTCTTCCACCCATCACTGCTTCAGCCCGCACTGCACCCCACCACAACATCACCATTACCTCATTCCAGCCACCACAGGCCGGTCCCACATTTCAGAGCTGTAGTCATCCTGATGGAGGAACTGCTCCGGGATGGCCAAACGGCCAGTCATGTGACTACTACAACTCTGGAATGTGGGACCAACTTTCCCACCAACATTAGCAAGTCACCCCAGGGTGGATTTCCCTCCCCTGCCATTGGTCTTACTTTCCAGTTGCAGCTCATGTGACTCTCTACTCAGTCTCAAGGTTTGCGCTTGGCTGAAGGGTGGGCGTCAGCGGGTGGGCGGGCCATGTTTTGCCACGTGGCCCGGATTAATTGCTTTCGGGGGCTATTTCTCTGCCATTTCTCTGCGGACCACCAAAATTTTGCCACAGACCACCGGTGGGCCGCGGCCCACCAGTTGGCGACCGCTGCTCTAGAGTTGGACATGGCTAACAGGCGAAACTTTTACCCTTTTCTTGATATAATACTTTACTGAATTTGATTGCATTCCAGGTATTTCCCCCCCTGATTTTATTCTGTATAGTGGCACTGATAAGTCCTACCCTTGATGTTTGAACAGTTTCATAAATGGGAGAAAAACAGAAGCATGTTTGCATTTAACTTGTGCTTCAAGATTTGCTACCTACGCACAGAGCAGGATCAAAGTGTGAATCAGGGGAGTTTCTCTATCCCTCAGGTGTTCTTTTTGGGCCTACTGTTTTCATGTGGTGTGTGTTTTGCTTCTCACATTGCTGCATTTACTGAAGTCCCATGGAGCTCTACCTTTTCTCATTTCTTGGGACAGTATGGCTGTCTTACAGCAGCTGTCTTCCATGTTGACTAAGAGGGCTGTGTAAAGAGATGCTTTACAGAACACAAGCTTGTTTGAGGCATCGTTTTTTTTTTTTTTTAATATGCTGAAGCAGCTGCATCTTTTTCCTGTTTCACACCGCTGCTTAGCAAGCTGCTCCTGCTGTGTTTGCAAGCATGCCCATGAATAGCCACAGCTCCTGTGCAGTCTGAAGCATTTTTTTTTGTTTGAAGGCTTGATTGATAGGTTGATAGAATTTGCTTTACCATCTTTTTTCTGCGTCTGAAAAACACGTTATACAACATGTAGTAGTTGTCTAAGAATATAACGAAGATGTCAGGTTATCTATTTAGGACACGTGCAGATGTACTGTAGCTCTTTGCCATAGTGATTTTACTCATCTATGTTGGACCAACCTTATTGATGTGATTAGTCTTGGTTATATATATTCATTATGAATTGGTTGAGTTAACCTATGATTTTGTATGACTTAGATGGTTGGTAGTGTAATAAGCGCAACAAATAAATATGAGAACATATTTAGCTTCCTTTAAACTCAGGTGCTTTCATTATAATTGCAGGAAAGAGTTCCAAAATGTTCACTTCTATTTTAAGTTAAATCCCATTGTAGTTTTGTATGACTCTTGATAAACAGTGATTAATCTGAAATTTGTCAAATATTAAAGTATTGTTTAACCTGATTTTTAACCTGATTTTGCTTTGAGAAATCGAGACAACTTTTAGTGTTCTTCCTCTTCCTCCCTCCCCCTTTTATTTTAATCTTCACAGTACCTCCTTAAGGAAGATTAGATTGAAAGAGAATAACTGGTTTAAAGTAATCCAGTGAATTTCACAATAATTGGGTTTTTAAACTTGGTTCTACATTCCATGTTAAATCAAGTGCCGTTTAGGGCCTGAATAGTATATTAAATTGTGGCTAGTCTCAAAAATAACTATCTCTTCTACTTTTTTTCTAGTCATGCAAGGGAGGGTGGGAGATCAGCAGTGTTGACTATATACTGGTGTAGGCTTTGGTGGCAAGTATCTGTTTGACAGTGTTATGCTTAAGAGCTGAAGTGTTTACAAAATACGTGTTTCAATTTTTTATTAATGAAACAGGAATAGTAAGAAATCATCTGTAAACCATATGAGATTCTGTGATGATGGTAAATTGTATTATATTGTATTATAGAGTAGCATAAATGGTTAAACAAG